GACTCCCCGCCGGTGGTATGACGGAGGTGGACTACTGAGTTTCTTAATGGTGGGAGGGGGTTGTTCTCCAACCCCTCACTTAAACGTCACGTGGCCTCCACCCTGTCTCCCAGCTTTCCCCCTGTGTCACCAAAGCTCGGGCCTGTAGTGACCTCGACACCCAGCTGGCCCCCTGGAGCTGACCCCAGGCTGGGCCGAGGGGCGGGGGGAGGGTGGGCGGCCGCTTTGTCCGGCCTGACAGGCCCTTCACAATGGGGACACGTGTCTTTCACACCTACCCTGGGGGCGGAGTGCCGCTGAAACTTGACCCCCGAGGAATGGGGGGGGGAGGGAGATCAGAGCGCGCCCACCCAGATCCCGCCACCCCTCCCGCCTTGCACCCCCACCTCAATATCTAGCCCGTGTTAACCCTTTACACTCCCGGAAGCTACGGTGCTAGGAGGTGAGGCGATTCCCTGGAATCAATGCTCAGGGCCTCTGGACCCTGCAGGTCCGAGCCCCGAAATCCCAGGCCCTCAGCTGGGGTTGCCGAGAGTGGCTGTGAGAGTTGACATGCACGTCCCCTCCCCCCAGCACCTAGGGAGGACTCCGAGGGTGGCGGTCTGTGAGGGTCCGAACGTGGGTCAAAGTCGCCACTCTGGGATCTGCTTTTGGGAAGGAGGTGACCCCACTGGGGGGAGGGGAGACGGAGAAATGAGAATCCGGATCTTGGAGCTTTAGGACTCCTTAGGGGCTGAGAACGTGTGACCCCTTAAAAGGGCGTGCAGCACATCGCCCACCCCTTAAAAAAGCCGACTCTTCGGCACCGACGCCGGACTCTCCCGTGCGTCCCCGCGCCCGGGTCCCCGGTGGCGCCCAGCCGCGCGGCTCCACGTGGGCCGCTTCCTGACACTGCGGAGCGCTCTCTTTATTTATCTCCGACTCCAAAGTCGCTCTGCTCTGCGCCTCCCCACCCCCTGCCCCTCCCCGTTTTTTTTGAGCCCCCTCCCCGGCGCTGCCTCCGTCAGCCGTGGGACAGACGTTAGGGTATTCATTAACTGAGAGCCGAGGAATAACGGCATTATTCCCCCCAGAGAGGGCACCCTGCCCCCGCGACTATCTGAGGCTTCATTGTAAAAGGATTAAAAGTTAAAGACCTCCATCTTATGATTCTTTCATTTAATCTTCCTGGCGCCTGGGAGACATGCTCGATGGATGATGGCTTTTAAAATATTCCTAATGTCGGCTACCTTAAGACTCCAAGCCGGGCAAACAAACGTAATTTATTTCCAGAAGAAAGGGGATATTGAGATGTTTAAGTTTATGAACCGCCGTCCGCATGTATATTTGTTAAATTCTGACAAATACCCAAATAACGTTAAAATCAGCCATTCATCACTTATGAATTTATGCAGAGAGTTATTCCCAGCTGGGCGGGCAGCCAAAACTCGGAGAGCGCGCCGAGGCCAGCGCCCCCACCCCCACGTTGGCAATGTCATTGGATTACAATGCGAGGTCTTCCCCTCCGTGACGCCCCCTCCTCCCTCCACCAGCCCGCCCGCCTGCGCCCCTCCTCCCCACCCCTGCCCACTTGGAAAACCCTCTCGCAGCCGGCGAGCCTCTCGGCTTTCAGAGCGGGAGTCCGTGTGAGCTGGGGGGACCCGAGCTGCAGACGTGATGGGCAGTGGACAGATCACTGGACAGACAGACCAGAGGACTGCTCCAGGCGCGCAGAGAGGACCCAGCAGAACCCAGGCTGTCCCAGAAGAGAACATGGGCAATGCTGGTCCCGGGGGTATTTCACCTAATAATGCACAGCTGGTTACATCGCCATTATTAACGTTGATAATAGTAATAATAGTTTCCACGTGGAAAGCAGGAGCACGCACTCTGGGCCAAGAGGCAAGAAAACTGTCCTTTGCTGTCCCCTCATGCCTCTCTCTTGTTGGGAAAATGCACCTAGGTGTCTTCAGTATCTTTGACAGCCTGTGTCTATGAGTGTATGTAGCTGCTGGGGGACCATGACTCCCCCAAAAGGAGATTTATAACTAGTACAGATACATACACATCACCTGTTTCAAATCCTGGAAAAGATGGCAAGTTTCCACCACCCCACCCCTCTGGCCAAGATTGCAAAAATTCAGTCCTCAACCTGTTTGCAACTCTTCCTTTCTTTCCTTCCTTCCACCTTTTCAGCGTCCCTCACCCCATTCATTCCCACCCCCACTGGCATACCCCACGTAAGCAAACCAAGGCCAAATGTCCAGGGAAAGCCAGCACACCCCCCCCCCTCAGCGGAGGGCCTTCTGGCCCCCAGAGTCTGGGAATAGGATCTCGTTCCCTGCTGAGATGGAGAAGGCCAGGGGTCCATTATCAGTCTTGCTTCTGAGACTCCTGGGAAAGGGGGTTGAAGTTTGGTGGCAGCTGCAGGAGGAAGCTGACTGCATACTAAGAGCTCTTAGCTGTGCTGGATAGGGACAGCAGGGGGAGGGCCCAGCCCATATTAGTATTTCCAAGGGGGTGATTCATCCTTTTTTTTTTTTTTTTTTTTTTTTTTTTTTTTTTTTAAATGCTCTTGGAATGTCAGAGCTGGAGGGGAGCTTAGATTCCTATGCCCACTGCTCAGTTTACCCATGAGAAGCCCGAGACCTCCGCAAGCAGGTCTTGGCAATCACACAGATCCATGCAGTTGGCTGAGGGTCTCTGGTGTGCCTCTTCCTTCTTCCTTTTACTTTGCTCTTTTTAATTTAGTTTTAATGTCTGTTGGTGGGAGGGAGTTCTCCCCAAAGCTGAAATAACAATTGATCGTCAACAAAACCAATCAACCATTCTGTAGTACCTATTCAACAGGTATTTATTATTGGCTTCCAATGTGCCCCACACCGCGCTAGGCTCCTTACACACATGCTCATCTAGGGTTACTAGTTTCCAGATGAAACTAAGCTCAGAGAGTTTGAGCATCTTGCCCAATACCACACGATAAGTGTTGCAGTTACAGTCCAAGCTGGCATCAAACCCATGCTTCTCCCAAATAGTCTTTTCTTTCAAGGACTTGAACACCTAGCTTGGGAGACAGAATGCGTATTACACTATTAAGTCTCAACCCACATTCTGTAGGAGTCCATGCCTGGTAAACCATATACACACACACGCATCCATACACACGCAAGCACACACAAGTTGTACATCCTGTTACGTGCCGGTGCCTCTCCCCTCCAACACACACACACACCGCACCCCAACACACATACACACACACACCCACATGCACACACACACACACAAGAAGCTTACAATGCAGTAATAGTTAAGAAATGAAGAACACAGTAAGTGATGAAAGAAGAGTTAAACAAAACTTCAAAGCAACCTGGTCCAGAAAGAGGTGGGTTCACCAGTGCCCTGGGACACCAGAGAAAGTATTTTCCAAAAAGTCTCAAAGAATAAGTTCCATGTTAATCATTGAAGTAAGGATGGGGTAAGAAGGGGGTATTTGGGTGGAGAACACAGTAAAAGCCCGGGGCTGGAAAGTATTTGTGTGTTTGGGAACTAAACAAACTTTAGCATAGGCTGGATCCATGCCAAGGAGAATGACCAATAATATCTGTAAAACAGGCTGAAGCCAAATTATAGAGAATCGTGAATGCTAACCAGGGCCACTAAACTTCTCAGTCAGTAGGGAGCCACTGAGAGTTCTTGAATAGGGCAGGACACCACTAGAGCATGACTAAAAAAGGAATTATTTATTCATTCGATGAACATTTTTAGCACTGTTCTAGTTATCTATTGGTACGTAACAAGCTACCCTAAAATTAATACTCTCAACCATTTTATTATGCACATGATTCTGTGGGCCAGGAATTTGGGGTGGGCTCCACGGAGCAGTTTGTCTCTTTTACACATGATGTCGCTGAAGACTCGAGGACCTACATGCAACACGGCTTCTAGCACCAGGCTGTTATGGAGGAGCTCAGCTGGCATGTTGGCCACAGCCCCTGCAAGTGGCCTGGGGTTTCCTGCAGCCTGATGCTTCCTGGACAGTTGGACTTAGGTGGTAGCTCATGAGATACAGTGTTCCAAGGGCACCACTCAGACAGAAGCTGCAAGGCTTCTAATGAGGTAGCCTCCAAAGTCCCACAACATTGTTTCCACTTTAGTTTGTCAGTTAAGCAAGTCTCTAAGATCAACCTAGATTCAGGGGGAAGGAAAATAGCAATCCTCTCTCAGTACCAGGAGTAGTAAAGAGTCAGGGACTATCTTTAATCTACCTTGTGATTGGGGCCAGCAGGTGGTGTAGTGGTTAATGACCTGGACTCTCACATGACTGACTATGGTTTGAGTCCCAGACCGGGCAGCTTGCTTTCTCATTTTCTCTCTCTCTTTCTCTCTCTGTCCCTCTCTGGTCAAATTAAAATAAACAACTGAAGTTGAATAAAATAATTATTTAAAAAAATTGACCTTGTGGTAGGTACTGTTACAGGCTCTGTAACGCATATCCAGGACACAAAAATGAAAAGCTAGAGTCATTTTCCATTTAAGTTCAGTGCTAGTGTTCAGGAAGAATATGTCACTTATGTGTGTCACTTTCACACACATAATTTTACATAAAATGAGATGTGAGAACTCCTGAGAACAGGACATAGGGTTTTGTTTGTTTGTTTGTTTTAAGAATTATTTTATTTAACTTTATTCATTTATTTTTTTAATTGGACCAGAGAGAGAGCAAGCTGCCAGGTCTGTGACTTGAACCATGGTTTTAACATGTGGGAGTCCAGTGCCCCTAACCACTATGCCACCTGCCAGCCCCAACATAGGTCTTCTTTTTATCTCCAGAGCCTAGCTCAGGGCCTGACCCATATCAGCACGTAACCAATATTAACTGGAGGACTCACTGAACGTAGGCTGATTTCACCGATAGGAAAATCAGAGCTCAGAGAAGCCGCCTGAAGGACAGATGCTCACAAAGCTCATTCCTGTTGGTAGAGGCGGGAGTAGCTGGGGCCATCAGTGCTGGGAGATCCAGCAGCTATTTCTCTGTGGTGGAGGTCGAGCTCCAGAGGCCAGCCACACATCTGCGGACCACTCAGTAAGTCTGTATACCAAGAATAAGGAAGGTAGAGGTAAAAATCTACACCTGCTGAGGGAAACGGGCCCTGCAGTTGCTGGTTTGGGCACCTTACAGGCTGGGGTTGGAAAGGATTCCTGACTAGTGCTTAGTTTATTCAATTAAGAAAAAATCAATTAGTCAAGCAAAGAGAACAGTCCTTCCCCAGTTTACAAACGCAGAAACTCGAAGGCACAGGAAGCCTGAGGGATTCACCGAAGATCTAACAGCTAGTTGGTGACGGAGCCAAGATTCAAACTGCACTAGCACTGGCCTGGTGGGAGAGGCAGAGGGGTTTCGTGCTCCCGGAGTCTGTAATCCCAGCCAATCTCCCTGATTCCATGCTCACCCCAGCTCCAATCCATTCTCCACGCTATAGCCCAAGTGACCTTAAGACACACATGTGGTCTTGTCACTCCCCTGCTCAAAACTTCTCAATGGCTTTCTATTGCTCTGAACATAAAGGCCAGAATCCTTACCAGGCGGAGGCCCTCTGTCACCGTGGCTTTGGGTTTGAGCCCACACAGCTTTCCTCTCAGGTCCTCCCTCTTGGCAATCTCCCCTGCTCCAGGGCCTTTGCACATACTACACCTCGAGTCTGGGACGCCTCCTCTGCCCCTAGCACCGCTCACACTATCCTGTCCTTCAGATCACAGTCTTAGAGGAAGCAGAGCAGGCCCCCCACACTCCAGTCCATGGTCTCTCAGTTCTCTGCACTTTTTCTACGTAGGACAGGTGAGGGTTTGCGGTTGGTATCTGCAATTTGTAGTGACTTGTGGACTGTCTCTCTTCCAGTAAATGGTCACCTCCTGTTTGATTCACATGGTATCCCCCGGTTGCTGGCACGGTTTGGGGCACATCTGAATACTCCATATACAGAGAATGAGTGAATACACTGAAAAAATAAAGAGATGTTTATTGATCACCTTCCTTGCATAGGCCAGGATCTATCTGGAGCTCTGAGCATTCCAAATGATCAAGCTCCTCCTAAGTACTGATCCAGGGAAAACTTATAAATATGCCCAATGTGTAATACAGAGCAAGAAGTAGGGGACCCCCAAGTGGCTCTCTCAGTTCTGAGGTTAGTGACTCTTGGGTTAGTGAACCCACTAGCCTCCAGTCTGCATGTGTATGTGACTTGCCAGATACACCCCTTCAGCAAATCAAAAACTGTCCCAGTGAAAGTGAGTTCACTCCCTGTAAAACTTTCCCCACCAGAAACTAGATAGCCCTAGTAAGTCCATGGGGGAGAAGACTCTTCAGGAGTGGGTGGGCAAATCACCTTTCCCCCACCTGAAATCCTTTAAAATGGGAGAGATTATCTTATCTGCTGGACAGTCACATCTTGACTTTTCCTGTCCACAGAGCCATAACATTAAGCAATGACTTACTCATGGCTAAGGCTTTACAATGGACATAGCACTTCCACATCCACTTTCACATCCATCAGCTCTTTCCAACTCTACAGCTCATGACTGGAATTCTGATCACTTTACAGATAAGGGAACTGAGACTGAAGCGTCACTTGCCCTGGAAGCAAAAACCTAGCTTTTGGGAGAGAAGTTAGATATTACAGAGGAAAACAAAACCAAATGCCATGGACTTTGATATAAGAACAGCCTGGGTGTGGATCCTGGTTCTACAACTATTAGCTGTGGACCTTGGTCAGGGCATCTGACATCTCTGAGAGTCTTTCCACATACCTCACATGCCAACATGGGCACAAGGTATCCACTTACCAAGGTGTTGAAACGTTCCAGTATGTTCCTTATGTGTAGTTCCTGGAGGAGCAAGAGCCCACCAACCATGCTTTCCTTCTGTCTCCCCAATTCCAAGGCCTGGGCAATGGCCCTTGGAGTCAGGGCAAAGGCGGAATGTCCTGCTATTCAGTGGCCATCATCAGCCACTTCCTCAGGTCTTTGTTCTGCATGGTTGAGCTAGTTGAGGAAACACCATAGATTCTTCTTTTTCTCAGCTGACAGAAAGGTTTTGAACTTAATACCAGTTGGTTTTGTGTCTTGTTATTGCTGTTAAATTATAAACCAAAGAATGAATGAGGGTAGGAAAGCCCATGACCAAAGACAAAGCTGAGAGGAAAAAGGGTTAAATCAAAATGAAGGGAAATTGGAACATCAGGTTATTTGTTTGACATGAACAAAAGCAGGAATCCAGCCCAGGTAAGCTAAACTTCATTTTCTAATTCTACAGATGCATCCTTTCTGTTTATTGGCCTTCAACCAGGCCAGGAATCACCCATAAGTGACCGCCTCTCCAACACAGTCTTGAGTGGTGTCATTCCAGCCTCCCTTAGGGATAAGCAGAGGCCTGGTTATGAAAGAAATGAGACACTCAGGTGATGCCAAACTCCCCAGGAAACTGAGTTAACATGCAGTGCCAGCAATGGAGGGCCTTAAAGGCACCCATCTACTCATGACCATCACCCTGGAAAATATGGAAACTGAGATTCAAAGAGAGAAAGTCACCTGGTCCACGTCGAACTCAAGTTACAGAATCAAGGGCAGCAGAGAAACTTTGATGATGATATGGAGCTGCTGATAACTTAGGGACTTGGGTGCCTTCCACCCCCAAGGTTGGATGACTTCCCCAAATGTCACATTCCATGGCAGGTTTTCCAAGGGACATTTGCTGCTGTCTTCTTCTTCACTTCAATACAATTGTCATGGGACCAACAGATGGCGTAATGGTTATGTTGCTGGACTCCCATGTAGTCTACAACAGTTAGAGTCCTAGACCCAGTACCTTAGAACTTGCACTAGGTGTGTGTGTGTGTGTGTGTGTGTGTGTGTGTGTGTGTGTATGCCCAAAATTTTGAGAGGAGTGGAGGAAAAGGGACTGTGGCATAGCCAACCCCCTGGGGGTGATTTCTCACTTTCTGTCTCTCTGTCTCTTTGGTGAGTGCACACACCCTGTAACAAAAATCTCTGTTAAAAAAAAAAAAAAAAAGTGTTCTTGGTAGGCCCTGAATTGTAGATCCAGCCCACTGGGAGCCACAGGGGACATGTTCAGTGTGACTACTCTTTCGGAATGGGTCCTTTGAGATTGATGCTTCCCAGGGTTCTAATTATCTGTCTTATCTCCTTTCACATCCTCTGCCCTAGGGGGGGGGCTCTGGGCCAGGCTGTCTCCTGGTGTCTCCAGCCATATCAAATACATGTTCAAAGTTGAATCCTAACCCTGTTCCTAAACCTTCTAATCTGACTATTTACAGTTCTCTCATTCTTGGGTATCTCCATTCATAGCCCTCCCCCAAAAAAACTCCCTGGTCAACCTCTTGTCAAATCCACTCCTCACAGCAACTGCTGACATCTTTTGAACTATCATTAATCCAGCTTTTCAACCCCCTTTTTCCTATGTGGCTATAGCTTAGGCCCTTGTTATCCCTCACCTTGGCTTTGCAATAGTTTAATAGACCATTTCTTCACTGCCAACCTTGCCCACTGTCAACATTGCCGTTTCCCTACTGCACTCCAAATGTGCAGTGTCTCCCCTGAACCATAGGACCATGACCAAATCCCTTAGCACAGCACCCAACATCCTTAACAATAGATGACCCCAATTTACCCTCCATTCTAATCTGGTGTCATTTTCTACTCCACCCTCCCCCACCAACCAGCCATACCAACTTACTCATGGCTGCCCAAACTAGCAAGCCTTTTGAAGCTTCTGTTTCGCTTGCTTTATTGGCTCTACCTGAAATGCCCCTTGCTCCACCCTTGCCCCATCGTCCCAAACCAGGGAAGACCTACTCTTACTTCAGGGCCCAGCCGCTGGCCAAGGTAGAATTAACGAAGCCATATTTTTTCCTCCAACTTTGCTGATGATTGTTAGTAATAGTAATTAGCCCAGCTGCACTGCCTCACGTTGTTAAGGCACTGTGCTCCACAGGCTGAGACCACATGGAAGGCCCTGCTTCAATTCCCAGTCCAACCTAAAAGTGAGACATGGTGGCACACATTGGTAATCCCACCTGCTCAGGAGGCTGAGGCAAGAGGATCATGACAGTGAGAGCCTCTCTAAAAGAATGATAATAATAATAATGATAGATACTACTATTCAAATGTGTCAAGTACTGTCCTAGGTATTTTATGTGCATCAAATCACTAAAACTCCAACAGCGATCATATGTCATATTATTATTGCTATATAATAGGTTCACAGAGATTCGATGACGTACTTAAAGACTCCTAATTAGTTAGTGGCAAATCCAGGACTCAGGTAGTTCAGTCTCTCATACCGCATCCCATCTCAGTCTGGCACCTGGGACACTGTACTAAATGTGTGTGGACCCATATCTGGCTACCTCTGGAATCCAAAGGCCTTTTGAGGGTAGCCACTGTGATTCTAATTTCCAACCATATCATCTAAAATCATGTCTAACATATAGCATGCATTAAATACATATGATATGACTGAGTAGCTGAGTGACCGAATATGAGCAGGGACCCCGGATTTTTGTTTTTAACTTAAATCCAAATGGAATGTGTTGGTTTGTTTAATGAACATTGGTTAGTCTTAACTTCAATTGAAGGAGAACTTTGGAAGACAAAGGTAATGCAGGGTTGCTGCAAGTGTAGACTTTGAAGTTGGGCTTGAGCTCTTTGCTCTGTCCCATCCCAGTTGTATGACTGATACTACTAATGTCTTTGTTAAACCCCTGAACAAGCACAAGTCACTGTTATTAATAATATGGGCTTCTCCAAAGAGCACTTAAATTGTTCGCACCCAGACGAAGAGGAAAAGTGGAGAGAGATAACCCTAGACATCATGGGAAGCACATTTGGAAAGGCCTGTGAACACCAGGCAGGGATACTCTTCCATTAATACTCTTGTCCTATGAGGAGCACATTCAACAAACAATGAAACAATGAGGAATTGGGGCCTATTTGGTCTAGAAGCTGGGAGTAGAGCTATAGAAGAACAGAACTGAAGGGACAATCAAGCAATGTGATTGTCATTTGTCCCAGTCATTATGTCATTAGAGGTGAGGAAGCCACACCCCAGAGAGGTGCTTAGACTTGCTCCAAGCAACAAAGCTAGTTGGCACTGGAGCTGGGGCTACATCTTTTTTTTTTTTTTTTTGAGAGGTTTTTTTCGCTATAGGGCGCGTGCGCTCGCCAGACAGAGAGGGACATAGAGACAGAAAGCAAGAAATCCATGGCCATGCCCAAATCCCTTCTCCTCCATTCTCCTCTTGGGATCTTGGGCACGCACGCACATGCACCCGGCGTGAGTTTAAGCCACTGGGTCCGGGACGTGAACTGCGGTCAACTACGTGGGAGTCCAGCGACATAGCCATTACGCTAACTGCTGGTTCCCAGCTGGGGCTACATCTTAGTGACACTCATGAAATGCTTAATTATCACCCCTCCGATATTAAAGTCACTTTTTAAAAATGCTCAACATGGGGACCGGCAGATGGTGTAATGAATGGTTACATCACTGGACTTCCACGTAATAGATCACAGTTCAAATCTCGGATCCAGTGGCTTAAACTCATGCCAGGCGTGTGTGCATGTGTGCTCAAAAATCCCAAGAATGGAGGGAAAAGGACTGTAGTGTGGCCATCCCCCCATGGAGTGATTTCTCGTTTTCGATCTTTCTGGCTAGCACATGTACACTATAGCAAAAATCTCTCTCTTAAAAAACAAAAATGAGTTAAAAAATAAATTAAAATGCCGGGACCAGCAGTTAGCGTAATGGCTATGTCACTGGACTCCCATGTAGTCGACCGCGGTTCGCGTCCCAGACCCGGCGGCTTAAACTCACGCCAGGTGCGTGTGTGTTCGTGCCCAAGATCCCGAGAGGAGAATGGAGGAGAAGGGATTGCGGTGTGGCCATTCCCCCGGGGGGTGATTTCCTGCTTTCTGTCTCTCTGTCTCTCTCTGTCTGTCTGGCAAGTGCACGCGCCCTATAGCAAAAACCTCTCCAAAAAAAAAAAAAATTAAAATGCTCAATATGATCTTTTTTCTTTGTTCCTTAATGAAACATTTCTTTAAAGAATGTGCCAGTTAGACCCCCACTACCCTACAAATGTCAGAGAGGCCCTACTATCACCTACCAAGCACTAAAGGGTATGAGAGAGATCCAGGAGTGTGAAAAGGACCAGAACTCTGCAGGTTCAGTCACCTCTTTCCCACTAGGCCAGACTAAGCTTGGCTCTCAGCTTGGCTATGGCCACTTCTAACCTTGAACATCTCCAGAGATGCAACCTTCAGGAATCTGGGAAAATCAGCCCAGTATCTGAATCAGGTCAGCATGGAGGTAGAAAGAACTCAAGTTTTGGAGTGAGTGAGATCTAGATTGACAGCCACCTTGAGAACCTGGCCATAGTCTCCTCGATCCTCTCTGCCTAACAGTGGTAAGACCAAGTCATGTTATCCTTTCTTCCATCTGTTGAGCACTTTCCCTGTGGCAGGTATAGTATAGTTTAAATACATTAAAAACCACTTCCTTTCCAGCTGTTGGTCCATGGGCAAAATTAAGAATTCCAGCTTTTCATTCATATGCAAAGCACTGAGCTGAACATGCCTTCAATGATTTCTCACAACATGAGGAGGTGGTACCACTATTTACAGATGGGGAAACTGAGACACGGCAGAGATCGAAGGCTATAAAACAGGTAAATGGAACACCTGGGATTCAGGCACCTGACTTCACAGTTCATGCCCTTAACCCCCTAAACCCCATCTATACAGTAGGAGGCATGTTACCCACTCTACAGAGTTGCTGCAAGGATATAAGCAGGTGAAGATATGAAAGCTTGGACACTTACGAAATATAT